GATTGGGGCTTAAATGGGCAGCAGACTTAACGATCTCATCGCCAGCTTCTTCTACCGCAATCAGGGAGCACTAACGATTTCTTCATGCCCATAAAATCCTTATGTACAAAAGGATATATGGCCCTTTTCTGCTTTAAGCACACCAGTGACGCTATTTTTTTCTCTTTTAGCATCTCTAACACGGTCTCGCGTTAAGATACAATATTGAATATTATCTCATTAAAAAAAATATGATGAAATATTGAACATTTCTATTGACTGCAGTAATTAGGTCCGATTTTTAGTGTCTGAGATGCTTTAATCCATATCTTCAATAAAACTCGTCATCATTTGGTTTTCGACACTATTTCATATCTCTAACAAAGCGTCGCGTTAAGATATAATTTTGAATAGCAGTTCATTACAAAGAGGATGAAATGATCAAAATTTCCCTTAATAACAATATTCCCGGTCCGATTTTTAGTTCCGATTTTGACATCAATGATGATCAACTGATAAATATCAGTTGTTTTTCGAAACTATTTTTCCGTTTTCTTACACAATGTCGCGTTAAGATACAATTTTTAATAATAGCTCACTATAAAGATAATGAAATTCTGAACATTGCCATCCCTTACAGCATGCAGATCCGATTTTTAGTTTGTTGGATATTTTAGTTCATATCTTCAATAAAACTGGTTATTATTTGATTTCGACACTGTTTTCCTCATTTTCGCCTCTCTAATAAGGGGTCGTGTTATGATACAATTTTCAGTAATAGTTCTTTACGAGGAAGATAAAATTCTATACATTTAACTAGAGGTAAAAAATATTTATTTCCTCAAGTAATAGTTCTTAGCTAATTAATTTGTTTCCTCTGACAAATAGCTGAGACAAGACAATATCCTTTTATATCTCATTCTTTCTAGATCTGAAGAGGACCTGCAGTTGGGTCGAAACTTAGGCCTGAAATAATAATTTTTTTTCATTATTTTGACATCAACCCCGGACGATCTCCTTCATCAATTATTTACAACTTCCAACCATAGAGTATTCAATAAAAAAAAAATTAGTAAATATTTATAACGAAGCCCTACGGACTACTCAAAAAGATCCATTAGGCAACATACGTAATTCCTAATCAATTCTTTGAATTAAATACTGCCTAAATAAGAGGATCCCAATCGTACTGATTAACCATAAAATTCAGTTTTTCTGTAATTATTGAAGAAAACGAAGTGGTCTGTATTCACATAGACACAAACATATGATAGCTGGCACATGGCTAAGAAGCTTTTCAAGAAACATTGAATGTTGCGTTTCTTAAGATAGGAATTAACAGTGATGACAACGCTTACGTAACCAAAGAATTGACTGAGGTACCTTCTTGTCGCCTACTTTAGTTTTGACAAAGAATTGAGCCACACATTTGAAAATAGATACAAAAGGAAATGTCTAGGATAATCTAAATTAAATAAGGGACTGAAGTCCAGAAAATGTGAATAGATTGTTTTGCCATTTCATGTCTATTTCATTTTATGTGTATATTCTAAGAGAGCCTTTCATCCAATTATGCTTTGTGTGAGCAAAATGTTACTCGACTAGACTTGAATGCATTTTTATTATTTTTTTCGTTCGTAGATTCAGTTTACAAGAATAAAAGAAACATAGAAATCTAAGCATTATCTCTCCTTTCAAGATAAATGTAAACATTACCATATTACCTGTATTATTATGTATTTATAACATTTAATTATCATAAAAAAATATAATACTAGGGGAGGTTCCCCTGTCTGGCTGACCAACCCCCATTTTACAAATATGCCATTTTACAAATATTTTTTATACAACTGTTCATTTAATTTTACTACACGTTATTCAAATTATATAACTTCAATGTATTCTGTAGTTCAGATTGTATTATTTTTTATCAACATATAAAAAACATTTCCTATACAAATCTGTAATCTAAAATTTTTATTTAGTATTAGGAGAATAAGAGATAACAGGAGCTCAACACATGTGTAATTGCAAGGCTGTATAAGCTCCTATTATCCTATTACTAAAATAAAATAAAATATGAAAGTCACTAAAACTTTTTTACATAATTGAGGGATTATTATATAAAATAGTATAATAGAACATTTATTCATTGTGAAGGTATTTTATTTTTATTTACACCCTTCTATCCCTAAATAATTAAGCTTTTAAAGAATCGAATTTAGTTTAAGATTAGATATTGAAATTTAAAAAAAAAATTACTCTGTTCTTTTGAATCTTAACCTTTACTATCACTCTGAATTGAGAGCTAAAATGTAATTTCACTCGGTGTATATTATGCGTAGACAATTAAACAGTTAGGTTTAGAAAAAGAAAATGAATATTCCTTTTATTCGTTTTATAATTTATTATATCTTTTTATTCAATCGTTTTAATTACCTTTGCGACATTTTTAGTGTAACAACATTAACAGCGTTACTGAATGCCAAATTTTATATTTTCTTTTATTCTTAACTTATTCTTCTATTGGATTCCCTTTTATAACACAGGTTACATCTTCAAAGCAAATCTTCCCTCTCCTTAATACAATACTGTCTGGTATAGACCTTTTCTCCCCCTCTCTCCACCCCCTCCTCCAGACCCTTACACAGAGGAAGGAAGTATTCGGTAACCTGCATCCCACGTTGACTTACCCAAATCCTTTTGATCTTGAGGTTTCTTATCCTGATAGGTTTTTATCGGAAGATTCGAGACAACCCATTTATAGAACGGAAGCACAGTAATATTATAATATTTTGATGTGTATGGATTTATTGTAAATACTTTTTTTTTTTTAAGGAGCGGGGTGTTGTCTCTCAGTATATATATATTTATGCACATCTTAGTATTTTCTTAAAAGAAAATTCTGTTTAGATTTCTTTTCCGGCTCTCAAGAGAAATATATTTTGATGAATATGGTAACAAAAGTAAGGTAAATTTCATAGTAACATATTCCAATTTCGATTCTTAAATTCCTACTAAAACTTCATAATATGTCATTGAAAAAAATTAGGCTTCAAATCTCTGACGTTGCTAGATCGATGGATCGAGACATTTTGCATTTTAATGATTTCGATGTGGGCATCAAGACCCAGTTAGGTTTCTCCGAGCATCAAGTAGTTGTTTTGTTTTTTTGATTTCTGAGGTGACATTTAATATTGCTGATTTAAGTTTTAAAACGGATGTAATGGAGAGAGTTCTGTACTCGGAAATATTTTTCAGCAACGTACCTTCAGGTTCGCTAAGCCTTTTTATTTTTATTGTTTAATTTATTCCTACTGGAACACTTGTTTTTCTGGTATTTTTTCCTGACTCGGTCTCATTGATCAGCTCACAGTAAATGGATTATATCTTGAAATTCACGACCAGAATATTTAATTAGGTATTATTTAAATGTGCCGTGTCTTATTAACATATAAATTTAAATTTTGTTTATATGTATATTTGGTTAAAATGTAGTCCTTTAGATTGCATAAGTGGATGGTAAAGCATCCGGCGTGGACCTTTGATAAGATATATTACAAACATGCTAATTTGAAAGAGGGGGCTTTTTAAATATTTGAATGAATATTCATAACAGTAGAAATTTATAATTTTAATTCAAGCCAGTTAAATAACAAATATACTAGCTTAAAAAAAATTCTCATTAAATTTTTGGGTTTTCATGTTTTGTTTTGTTTTTTGGAAATTGGAACTCCCATACCAGACTGAAACGACTAGAAACCGCCCGACGTTTTCGACTACTGCAGCACTTACTAGACAAACGATCTAAGCTTTCAATCAATTATAAACGACTCGTATATATGACAATAATAAGACCTATTTGGACTTACGGAATTGAGCTTTGGGACTCCACTAAGCCATCGAATTCCTTTCGTATCCAATCCTTACAATCCAAAATCCTTCGTAAAATCCTCAACGCTCCTTACTTTGTCACAAATAAAATCATCCATAAAGACCTTAATGTTCCATATGTTTCCGATTTGGCCCAATCCATATACCTGTCCTTCCATAACAAACTGCAGAACCATCTGAATCCTCTCGTTTCAAACCTTGCTTCCTCCTCGAACCCTCCGAGGCGTCTGAAAAGAAGATGGCCTAATATAGAACTTTAATTTGAGTTCTACCAATGGGTAGTTTCTCTTCATGTTGTACATGTCATGTTACCAATTTCACATTCACTTATTGTATTTTCTATGTAATACAGTTGTAAATTCCATTAAAATAATTTAAAAATTTTTTTTTTTTGGAATGTGTACTTAGAAATATCCAACAGAATAAGCAAATGCAGTCTACTATCAGATTTGCAACACCGTTGTAGGAAAGCGAGAGGTAGACAAGAACGTCAAGCTCCATATATTTGAATCTGTGTATAATACTGCCTATACTTTTATACGGAGCTTAAATCTGGATATTGACAGACAGGCAAGAGAGCAGAGTCTTTGCTGTTGAAATGAAGTTTCTGCGAAGAACAGTCGATAAGACTAGGAGGGACCGTATAGGAGGGGGGAGGGAGTATAACGCCAGGAGCTGAGGGTCGCCTCATTGAAGGAGGTTCTGCAAATCCGCCAATTGAAATGGTTTGGCCATTTGATTAGGATGAAGAGAGAGAGAGAGAGAGGGGTTGGGGGCGGGGTGGCCGAATGGGCTAAAGCGTGTGCATTGCACCGCGAGTTGCCTGGCAACCGGATAACAGATTTGAGAAGATTTAAAAAGTATGAGTTCGCATCCCGGTGCCGGAGGGGATTTTAAATTCCCCGCCCTCACCCTCCGACCCAGAAAAAATCCCGTATAGCCTAAAAGGCGAGGTAGGGAAAAAAAAAAATTAGGATGGAGAAACATAGGGGACCCATTGAAGACGAAGATTATGCTCCGGATGGTAATAGACCGCAAGGACGCCCAAGAATGTCATATCTGGAGTACATCGATAGACTCTGAATGGATATCCGTCGAGCCAGGGACCTGGCAAAGAACTGAGAAGAATGGAGTTCGTGGGTGCTCACCTCCTTACGCTGAGAGGTACGAAATGGAGAAGCTAAAGAAAAAAAAAATGTTTATCGTCGTAGTTTTATATTATTGTATGCACAGAACTATGTTCTTGTGAAATATTTAGGTACACCTACACCACAAACGTTTAAAAATAGTTATAATATATTTTTTTATAGGTTGAAATCGCTATATGAATAGTATTTATTTCTACTAAATCTTGAAATTAAATGAATTCATTACTTTCCTTATTTTTATTTAGTTACGTTACACAAATATAAAGAAAAAGAACATACTTATTATCGTCGCTCTAGGTATAACATTGCCTAAATAACTTCTTTACGATTTTCTTGTATCTTATATTCACAGAAATCATACCAGATCTTTGTTTTTATCGATTTTAATTCTTAGTGACTACTTCGATAGTTTCTAGTTTGACATTTTTTTTGTAACTTCTTGGTTATTATAAATTATTGATACCTATCATAAATATTTTTCATGGATAATTATGTTTATTAATTGCTTTTTCTTTTTCAGTATATTGGGACGTTGGATGTTCCTAAGCCCTCAACCAGAGTGGAAATCGTAGCTGCCATGCGTCGGATTAGAGTAAGTACCAAGATAACTTCACATTTAATAAATACAAATATTAATGTAACTTAATACGAACCATGCATTGTGATTTTAGCTTTCTTTTTTTTTTTTTTTTTTTTTTTTTTTTTTTTTTTTTTTTTTTTTTTTTTTTTTTTTTTTTTTTTTTTTTTTTTTTTTTTTTTTTTATGTTTTCACTAGATCCATTTTATGTATACTTGTTCAAGATAACGTATTTCTTAATTTAAATTTTGAAATAAATAAATATAGATAAAAAATATAAAATGCTTTTCATTCCAGATATATTAAATTCTATAATCTTGTCTATGGTTGTATGTTTACATTTTTTTTTATGCAAACACACACGATATTCCAGACAGTATTAGAACTGTTACAGCGACCTACGCAGACGATGCAACAATCCTAACAATATATAATCATCCAATACTTGCCTCACAGACTACATAATCCAAACCAAGACAAAACACATTTCTACCACTTTTCATGTTCAAATTTCTGAAACATATACAAAGCCTAAGCAAACTGTTGGACTGATACTTGAAGAAAGAATGACATGTGACACACATATCAACAAACAAAATAAAATTTTAAAAAAAACTGAGACCTGAGACTAAGAGTATTATACTCAGTTCTTTCAAAAAGTTCAAAACTGAAACAGTAACTGAGCTCCTTACATTTACTTACTGAAATCCATTTGGAGGAATGCTTCACAGATATACGGGACAGTCAAAAAGATCCACATACGTAAATTAGAAACATTACTTTGAAAAACTTTCAGAATTATAAATAAAGCTCCATTACTTTACATTATGTTAGGCCTTTACATGGCAACAGTTAACGACTAGATACAGACATCCTACAAAAGGTTTCACGATAATATTTACACGGATATACTTATTATGTTTACATAATATTTTTAAAAATATATACTTATTTTATATAATAACTTATTAAATATAGTTTTATTAACTTTTCTCTTGTTATTTTCGTGGTTTATCTATTTGGAGGAAAAAAAAATTGACAAATATGGCGAAAGCATAAATAAATACTTTTTTTGATAAATCGATTGTAGAAATAGTTTTGTTTTTAAATTTACGAAAAAAGAAAATGATAAAGGAAATGTAAAAAGTAGCAAATAATATAATAAGAAGATTTTTTTAATTATAAAATAATAATTGTTTTTAGTTATAAAGAAATATTTCTTTTGGTAGTGAAATCACCTTGTCATTAGAACCGTACTGTTTGTTATGGAATAATACAGTTTGAAATTCAGCTTAGGGTGCATCGTCTATATTCAAAATTTTGCCATTTTGGAAGCTGTAGAGTTTAAGAATGGTCCTAAAGGAACACGTGTTTCGCAATTCCGGGTCAATTTTTCCAACATTACAAATCTCGAATAGTTTATTTTTAACACGGGTTAACTCACAAAATAATACATCGGTGATAAAAACATGATTTTAAATAGATATATTATACATGCTTTAATTTAAGCATTCACTTTTCTATGTATGAAAATTCCCTTTTCCTAAGTAGGATAGTGTATGATGAGCGCACCGCATCAGAGTTTCTATTACCAATAAGGAGCAATCCTTTACGAAGTATTGATTTCTCACCCACATTTTTCCTATTATTTTATCCCGCCCCTAGATGGACTCTGCTATTATCCTTCTAATCTAGATCCAGAAGATGCAAAGCGCGGCTCGACCTTGATAATAAGGGCAGAGAATCTCTTGCTCATCTTTCATGACCTCCATCCCGAGTTAATTGGACCTCTGCTTTCCCATCCTCCAGCCTGTCACTCATTTCCGATGGAGGACTTTGATAGCCCCTTCTCAAAGTCAACTTAATAGCCACCGCTATAAACATAATGTTAACACTAACGACCATTTTATCCTCCTATCTGCAAATTATTTAAATGCAGCTTGCACATGTCGGTTCAAATTGGTCTTTATCTTGAAGTTATGATTCTCTGCGGGCTGTTAAAATGAATTGGGATCATATTGGATTTTTTTATTACTGTTCCGATTTGTATTTGTAATGGAAACAGATGTTGTGGGAAATTAAAAGACTATTGATTAAAAAAACATAAATCGATCGCTTTGGAATGAATATTTTTATCTTAGGTTCAATTGTATATTTATATACAATTTCTCCATAGGAGCCTCTAGAATGTTTCCTTTAATACATTTTGCAAGTATAGTGTTTGAACTATAGTATCGAATGGTTTGTCCTGGAATCTGAAGGCTGGTCGTTTTTGTTGATGTTAGTATTTAAGACATTAAAAAAATTTGTTGTCGAAAATTTCGATGTGAGCAACTCTAATTATGAATTTATTGTACAATTAATAATATATATATCTCCTGTTTAAATTAAAGTAATAGTGATAGCATTTATTGAAAAGATAATTCATTAGAGACATTTATTTTTGTCATGGATGTTTAAATACCTCTACTAAATTAAATTTAACAAAGCCGATGAAAGCCAATGAAGAGTTAAATCACGAAGTAAACTGGATAAAACAAAAGGTATAGATTATGAAATTGTGATGGTTAAGATCATATAATTATGACTGCGAACACAAGACTTTGTGGAAATTTAAGTATATGTGTTCTATAAAAACTTGAGCAAACGAAATTCATGAGGAATCAGAGGAGATTAACGTCGGGTAATACTTGTTATTTCTCAGCTGCAAGATTACTCGGCACAAAACAAAGCTAGCTAGCATAATTTCCTAGATGGGTAGAGCCTGAAAATTAGGTATTACTGAAATACTTCCTAAGAAGGATGATTTCCTAAAAAAAAAAATAGGAAATTACACTTCGCGGAATCGTCTTGCATGATTAAGCATTGTATAAATGCAGGGCTTGGTAATAAATTAATCACAAAAAACTATCACTGAATCAACGGGCAAACGTCCAACCTATAGACCGAGCAAGAGATGGAATGATTCTATATTATTATATCTTTCTTATGTGTATATATATATATATATATATATATATATATATATAATCATGTCATAATCAGCTGTTAAAAAATGGGGGAGAACATCTAAGAGCCAAACTAATCCAAAAAATACGGGAGGGAAAAAGGAAACCAGATTGCATATTTGATTTGCACTGCAGTAAGTCCTAATTAGTCAATTGCATTTACTGTAATTGGAATGCTACTGTCCGTCTCATAATCGGTACCTATGGCCAGTCACCGAGAACAATTTAACTACGGGTCAATAAACAATTGAATCATATTAGGGTGGTACAGTGGATTGATTAGTCTGTCTCTTGTCCCTTTGGTTTTGTGGAACATATATTTTTATATCTTTTGTGATTTTATTAATACGCTCCCTGGCGTTTTTAAATGAAAATTTAGAATGAAGCTTAACTTACAAATGTGAAAAAAAAGGGAATGAATTAAATTATAAAAATAATAATGGACTGTATAATATTGAATACAACAAATCCTGGACTAAGCACTTATTTTTTCTCTAATAACAAATCTCTCTATTATATTAAAAAGATTTAAGTGACTTTCATATTTTATTTTATTTTACTAATAGGAGAGAAGGAGGTAACAGGTGTTCAACATTATGTTTTGAACTCCTCATGTTACCTCTTACTCTCCTAATACCAAATAAAGATTTTAGATAAAAACTTGTGTATCTAGAGGTGGTTTGATTTTACATAGGTGACAACAGTTATTTTTCGATCTTGACATTCCCCCTTTAATACAATAAATTATATATAGTATTATTTAAATTTATTGTGTTATAATTATAATTAATAGATTGTGAAAAAATGATTATTTTATCAAATGATTGTTTTATCAAATTCAAGATTTCCAAAGACTGTTAATATTTTAATCCTGTTTAATACTTACCAATAATTAATAATCCCTTTAGAGCGTTCTCTAAGCTTGTTTAGCACTTAAATCACCACTTAAAGTAAACTATGAAATCAATACTACTATACCAGTATATATAGTATACTGTGTAGTATGCAAATTAAAACGCTATGAAATCTTCAGTATCTCAACCATTTATTTTGATGTAAACAATTTTTATCTATTTATCTATTTGTTTTACTTGAATTTATGCAGAGACTCCGACTGTCTGTTTTCCAAAGCCGCTTTGTATCTTTAATTTGTAGTCTTCTGAATTTTGCGAAATAAAATATGAAATGCATAAAAAATAATTTAATTTTAATCTGGGAAGACAGCAATGTTTAAAAAGGGGGAAAAAATTGTAGGAGTTCGAAAATATCTTCATTCCAGAAAAAGATGACCTAAAGAGATCTATAAACAAGACCGGATTATAATGGTAAATAGGAACTAAAAAGAGCTAAGAGCATATTCTGGGGTAGCAATAATTCACCTTTTGACAGTTTGTGTATTTATGAATATCTTTACTTCGTAAATAAAGCTAAAGCAAAACAGATTTCCACATGAAGTTTATGAGGAACTATTTTCCCTATTTATCATTATTTTTTTTCTCATAATCAGTCTCTGTCCTAAATTATAAGTAAAATATTATATTTATTAAAGAAAGAAATCTACAGTCACTAGTCACTTGTGTTTTGTAATCTGGTGTGCGTATCACACGACTTTCACTTACCCTCCCACCCTCTTCTTTGCAAAAATAATTATTTTCAAAGGGAAAATTTTCAAAGGGAAATTTCAAAGGGAAAGGGAGTTTTTAACGGAAATACACGTTTTGAGGTCCCCTAGTCCAAATAACTGAGTCCCAAAAAATAGTCAGTGTGTGTGTGTGTGTGTAGCTCCAAAATAAAAAGTCGTACGAAATTGAAATTGCGTATTTGAGGTTTATACAAGCCTCAGATTTTACAACATTTTCGTTATATATTTAACTGTAAATATGCTATACTTAGGAACGTATTTTTAATACCCAAAACCTATGATTTTTCCATTTTTAAAAAAATTATTTATTTCACAAAGAATGTAAATCGATAAAAGAATTATTATTTATTTTTTCCAAGTAGCAGATTGTAATGCTAACATGAATTTAAAATTGATATAAAATATAATCTGTACGCGATAAGTATGTTATGTTATATTACCAATAAATAGCTGATTAGAATAGAAAATAACTTTATTCTGGGAGAAAGTTCCTTTATAATAACAAAATAGTACAAAATTAATATATTGCATCTGCTCTAAATAAAAAAAAAAAAGAAATAAATAAAAAGAAATAGATAAAATTAAAGAAAAGATTAGTTAAACATACTATATGCAAAACAAATAAACATATATACAAAACACTTAAAACTATGACAAGACATTTAAAACTATTTAGAGTGGTAAAATACCATAAATGTACACTGTTAGGAAAAAATAAAGAAAAACTAAGGTGTGTGCCTCAGACAACACGATATAAGTGAAAACATTAACAAGGCGAGAATAATAATATGAAAAATAAATTATAAATAATAGCTCATTACAAAAAAAATGAAATGTTGAACGTTTTTCTCGCTTAGAGAATATTTTTAGATTTTAGTAACTGAAATGTTTTAATCCATATGTTGAACTAACCTTATAATTTGGTTTTCAACACTCTTTTTTCCTTTTTGCTGCCTTAACGTGGCGTCGCTTTAAGATAAAATTTTGAATTATAGCCTATTACAAAGAGGGGGAAATTCTGAACAATTTACTCGCTTACAGTATGCAGACCCGATTTATATTTTCTGAGATATTTTAATCCATATGTAAAAATATTTTAATTAGTCGACTCTATCCGACTTTACCCGAGCGTTAATGCCGAACGAAATCTACCTAATTCACTCAACACAAAACAGTTCAAAACGTGCCTAAAGAAGTTTTGGCTTAAAAAAATGCATTAAATTCTTCTTTAAAATTAACTCCTTTAATATATTTCAAATTAAAAATTTAAATCTTTATTTTAAATTTAAAATAAAGCCTTGTAAAAATTGGTTGTAAAAAAATGGTTGTAAAAATTGTCTGAGTATTTATATGATGAATGATATGTAAATACATCATCATAAATAATACTTGATTACATCATAAAAGGTATTCGAATGTTTTTGAGACATGAATTGGAATAGGAGGGGTTTGAATGTAGATATGGAGGGGGAATGCCGAATTTGGATAGGGAGGGAATTCCAGAAATTAACAAAGCAAATATTATGAGAGCAAACATTCCTTGATGGCTTGTGGTTACTGTAATATGGACTACTGAAACAAAAAAAGACTAGAAATTTCTAATAATAGAACATTATTAAAAATAAGCTGTTATTATAATTTATTGGCATAATAACTATGCGAAAACTAAAGCTATAGGGAGGAGCATTTTAATAAGGTGTCGCTTCAAAAGGGAGCTCTCCTCAAAGCCAATAAAAGGTTTAGCCTGTTAATGCAGCAACTTAAAAACCTCAACTTCTTAGCCCTTCTAACTTTTCTGAAATTTAAAAAGCCTTTTAAAAATCAGTGGCAGGCCACCATTTCCCGTTCTATGCCAACACTTTTATTCATCATTCAAAAGCTTTTAAAAGCCGAACGGAATATGAATAAATCACTCTTTCTTACCAATAAAAAGTTAATATATAAGGATAATAAAGGCAACTTTTCTTCGGAAATATCCGTATCCCAAAAAGAAATATTGTCAACTACTCGTGGAACTGGTGATAGTCAATTAAAAAACCGCAATAGAGAATTCGCGACAGAATAATATTAAAAATATATTCATGAAGAATAATTATATTTTATCATGATTTAATTCTATTAAATTTATTATATAGATTTTGGTAGAAGTTATGAATATTGATTCTATAAATAAACAAGAAACATCATTGATAATTTTTAATTATTCTTAATTCAT